GACTACGAAGAGCAGACGGAGAAGCCCGAATATATAGCAAGCTCGTTTGCCGAATGACCTTCCCCGCGGCCGCGGCCGCCGCGAAGTGCGCGCCGACGCCCGCCGAGGACAGCCACGGCGCATGAATTTGGCCGCACGGGGGGACGCGCGATGCCCGCGTTCGGAAAACAGTTCCGGGCGCCGGCCGGCCAGCCGGCCCCGGACACGAAAACGAAACCGTCGACGTGAACAACAATTGAATTCGCCCGTTGTCTGGCTCTGCGCCCTCGGACACGCCCACTTTTTACGAAAACCTACACGTACGACGGCCCCTCGGCGCCGGCCTGCCCGGAGACGCCAGACGCCTCCCATCCCAGGCCCCGAAAGGAAAAAACAGCTGTCGACGTGAACCAAAAATTGATTCGGCCCGTTGGGCGGCTCTGCGCCCGTGCTCATTCTTTACGAAAGCCCACACTCGCGACGGCCCCTCGGCGCCGGCCTGCCCGAAAGGCGCCTGACGCCTCCCATGCTGGGCCCCCCCAAAAAACAGCCGTCGACATGAACCGAAAAATTATTCGGCCCGTTGGGCGGCTCTGCGCCCCTACATATGCTCAGTCCTTATGACATCCACAGTCGCGACGGCCCCTCAGCGCCAGCCTGCCCAAAAGGCGCCAACCTCCCCGCGCCCCGGGCCCCGGAAGAAAAAAACAACGGCCAGCGTGATCCAGAAAGTAATTCTGCCCGCTGGGTGATGCCGCGCCCGTGGACGCGATCAGTCCCTGCAAGAACCCACCTGGGCCCCGCGGCGCGAGCGGTCCGTGCCCCCCATCAGCACGACCAGGGCCCCTGCTGGCGCGGCCACGAGCGCGACTCTGGCACAACCGCGGGCGCCACCTCTGGGCACGACCACCAGCACGGCAACCAGCACGACAACGAGCACGACAACCACAGCGAAGACCAACCAGACCGCAGCAGAACCGCCAGCCCGACCGTCAACGCCGCCGGCATCAGCACCGGTGTGCAAGCGCCCGCACGACCGCCGGCACGAACACGAGCACAACCACCAGAGCGACCGCCAGCACGACCAGCACCATCACCACCACGACCGCCACCATGACCAGGAGCACGGCCACCAGCACACCCACCCGCACGGTTTCCAGCACGAGCGCCGGTACAGGCACGAGCACGACCACCAGCACAACTGCCCTCCGTGGCCCGCCCTGCGACCACACCATCTCTAACCCCCCAGGGCTGCTGAGCTCGCAAACACACATCATACCTACACACCTTAAAGCCATGAAGACCACGAGCACACCACAATCCGCTTTCCACATAGCACAGCGAGATACCATATCCGCACTCCTGCGACAAGGACGAGGATGAAGATGAAGGACAACATGATGTGGCGAAGCGAAGCGAGCCAACAATATTCTTTGTCAACATGTGTATACATCTACTAGAACGGCGGGTGGGGGATGAGAATATCCAGTAAGGAGTGAGAAGGACACACAAAGGGGAGAAAGGAAACGAAACTAAGGATGAGGAGGTGGAGGACAGGGAGGGAGAAGCCATGGTGAGGGTGATACAAACAGCCTGAGGAGAAGCAGGGAGGAGAGGGAGGGTCCTCCTCCCCTTCCCTCCTCTGCTCGTCTTCCCCTGCTCCGACGAACGGGACCAGGCTCATCACCCAAGTCCTCCGCCTCATCCCCTCAAGAAACCCTTCCCCCCCAACCATCCGCCAGGACCAGTCCTGGAAGAGCTGGGGGCGCAGTCCCTCCCTGCAAGCCATCATCCCCTCCACCTCCTCCCCCCTCTTCCTCCCCCTCCTCCCCGTCCCGCCATTTTCTCAGCGGCGCGTCCAGAGGGAACGACAGATGGGGCGGGCCTCCTCAGAGGGCTCAGAGGGCCTCCAGGCTTCTGACAAGACTTCAAAGCCTTCTCCGAAGCCACGGAGGGCTTCTCAGGAAGCCGTGGGGATTTCATCGCTGAAGGACGTCATCGCCGAAGATTGCCGTCGCAGCTGGTCGTCGTCGCCATCGCCGCCGCCGTCGTCGCCGCCGTGGTCGCTGTGGTCGCCGCGGTCGTGGTGCCTGTCCACTCTCGACACCCTCCCTCGCCACCTGCCTTCGCCACCCACCCTCACCCGCCCTCACCGAACCAACAACCACGCTCCATTCCCGCGAAATGCGCCTGTTGGAGCGCGTTTCTTTATGTTCGGCGATGACGGGCGTCATGGGGGGCGGGGCGGGGGTGGGGCATTACGTAACGCCCCCGCCCGCCGTGTGGCTCCGGCACCACAGCCGCGCCCGCGCACCCGACGCGACGAGCGACGAGCGACGAGCGACGACGACGACGACGACGCGAGCAACATGTAGGTGGCGATCTGCCCCACTGCGCCTGTGTACACCACAACGCTCGCGTGCACCACAGCGCCTGTGTACACCACACCACCTATGTACACCACGGCAGCCGCGTGCAACACAACGTCAATTTGTGCCACCGTGCCTGCGGGCACAACAGCTCTTGTGTACACCCGCAGCGCCTGCATACACCGCAACAACCGCGTGCAACGCAGCGCCTTTGTACACCACAGTGCTTGCGTACACTACAGAGCCAGCGTGCATGTGTACACCGCAGCAACCATGTGCAGCACAGCGCCTCTGTACACCACAATGCTTGCGTGCACCGCAGCGCCTGTGCACGCCACAGCGACTGTCTACACCACAACATTCGCGTGCAACACAGCGCTGGTGTGCACCACAGTGCCTGCATGCATAGGACAGGTAGACAGAGCATGTCCGTGGGGATCTGCTGCGGACAACTAAACGCCACGCCAGGACAGTTATGATAATCGAATGCGACGTTCTTCCCTCCTCCCTCGTCCTCCACCTTCACCTCCTCCTCTTGCTCCTCCTCTTCATTACCCCCTGTCGTGCGGGTTGGCGCTACAGCGCACGGGCGCATCTCACCGTGCACCGAAGAATGGTTTATTGAATCGGTCCACTTGGTTCTCGGACGGCCAATTTAGCTGGACAGATGGGAGGATTTAGGGTGATGCGGGCGGACTCGGGAAGACTCGTAGATGCAAGCGGCGCTCCCTTGACCATAAGGGTTCCTTTCTATGGTTTTCTGCGGAAACTTCAGAAGCTCCATTTTGTCATAGGGATTCCTTGTAATATTATATATACAACAGTGGTGCTGTGTTGTACACGGTTGCTGTGGTGTACGCAGGCGCCGTGATGCGCACAGGCAGTGCAATGCACGCAGGCACTGTGGTGTACAAAGGCGCTGCGTTGCACGCGGTTGTTGCGGTGTATGCAGGCGCTGCGGGTGTACACAAGAGCTGTTGTGCCCGCAGGCACGGTGGCACAAATTGACGTTGTGTTGCACGCGGCTGCCGTGGTGTACATAGGTGGTGTGGTGTACACAGGCGCTGTGGTGCACGCGAGCGTTGTGGTGTACACAGGCGTTGTGGTGCAGATCGCCACCTACATGCTGGTGCTAACCGTCCTTCGTCATTCTCAAGCATTCCCAGACGCCGCCGGCGCGAAAGGTCACGTCATCGACCCCCTCCACCACCCACCAAATCATTGTCGTCATTGGCCTGGACTCAAAAACAGGCTCCAGCCGCGCCCGCGCGCACGACGACGATGAGCAACGAGCGACGAGCCACGAGCGACGACGACGACGACGATTGTGGACCAGACTCCTATGCGGATTCCTACGCGGACACCTACGCGGATCCCAATGCGCACGGCGGCAATGCCCGGAGCGCACTGGGGGGGGGGGGGGGAGCGTTACGTCATAGGGGGGGGAGCGGGGGCCATGACGCCCGTCATGACCCAAGCAATCAAGAAACGTGCTCTTGCCGCCGTCGCCGCCGCCGCCGCCGCCACTGTGCCTGGGGGAGGGCCAGATGAGACATCGGGGGTGAGACAGCGGCGGCCAAATCCGCTGAAAACCGGTTCTGATTACCTACCAGACCACCCCAACCCAACCCAACCCGAAGACCCGAATTTCGCCCGAATTTCGGGTTGGGAAGGGTACGGGTTTCAGATGTGTGTTTTTTCCATGTTCCCCGACCCCCCCTCCACCGGAAATGGAGGGCAAGTCGGGGTCTTTGGGTTAGGTTGGGGTGGTTTGGTGGGTAGTGAAGTTCCCATAGGCTGAGGTCGGGCATGTCCCCCTACAGGCGGATTTTGGAAGAAAAATTCGAAATAGTAACAAATGCCCCAACATAGCCAAACAATGTGCAAAACATCGTCCCCAGACTAGGTTTTGACAATTTTTGAATATTCCTCCTGTAGAGGGACGGGCCCGACTTAAGGGCAGGGAGGTTCCCATAAGCCCCTCCTGGGGTCCAACCGCACCACTCCCCGAGCTGCGTCCAGCCGTGGCGACGAAGCGCCCCCTTCGAGGGCTACAGAGGCGACCCTCGCCTCGCCTGGCCCTCCTCTCCGCGTGCCGTCGCCAACGGCGCCGTCGCCACCGCCGCCCTCCGCCGGCGCCGTCGCCACCGCTGAAAGAGCGCGCTCCATACACTCGCAGAGCAACTGCTCGCAGAGGGCCGCGATCCGCCGCGGGGCATCCACGATACGCTCCACAGAGCGGAAGACACATGCTTCTCTCGGACGTCTGCGGGGAGGCAATTCGCGAGCATAGTGGAACGCGGAACGCGCTCGCTGAACCCTGCCGGCGCCGGCGCCGCCGTCCCTGACTCCGGATCCGCCCGACTTTGGGAAAATTCGTAAGTAGGGCTTGGAATTTCCGCCTTACTTTTCAAGCCCCGTTGATGCCAATCTCCGCCCTACTTTTCTGTCGCTGTTTCCGCCCTACTTCTGTGGATTTCCGCCACATTCTTATGTTGGGTGCAGAACTTTCCGCCCTATTTGTTCGGCTCCTTACAGGTGGACTTCCGATGCAGTCTTACGTTGGAAAAAAAGGCAAAGTAGGGCGGATCTGGAGTCAGGGGTGCCGGCGCCGCCGTGCCGGCGCCGTCGTGGGCGCCGCGCGCGGGGGGCCGCCGCCTCGGTGCCGCGCCCGCGCTCGCCTCCGCGGCCGCGCCCTCGGCGGGCGCGGCCGCCGCGGCGGGCGCGACGTCCGCCGCGGGCGCCCGGGAGGGGCCCAGGACGATGCCGCCCTCGCCGTGCGGGGGGGGCGCCCGCTTCCCCGAGCTCTCCGGGCGCGGTGGCCAGGCCGAATGTTGCGGAATTCTCGCCTGGTCCAGGCCTCGGGTTGTGTTGCATCCTCGAGGGGCATTGTCTGTCCCGTCGCGGCCATGTCCGAGTCGAATCCGTGTCGAATCCGTGTCGGACTCGTCGGATCCGTGTGAATTCCGTGGCGAATCCGCGTCAAATCCACGCCAAATCCGCGTCGAGTCCGCATCGAGCCCGCGTTGGGCACAAGAAAATACACCAATTTTGGGGACAGGCGAGGTCCCCCGAAGATGCAACGTAACTCGTGGGGCCCTTCTACTGGGCCCCTATAGGGGGCCGTGAGAAAGGGCTCCGGATGCCCAGGGGGGGGGGGGGGTTCGAGACTTTCGGGGGCCCCGCATGCAAAAAACGAAGACATCGGACCTCTGGGTTCAGGGCGGACGAAAGGGGAGGGACATCAAGAGGGCATTTAGCGAATCGTCTCACGTAGCTGACTCTTCCGGTGCCTCTCGGCGCTGGAGGCGTCCATGTCTCGAGGAAAGCCCTGAGCGGCAGTGCGGAAACGAGCTGTACGCCACAGATTTCGTACCTCCCCCCTCTCCACATCCCCCCATGTTCGTCCGACCCGACCTCGCATCCGACGTTACATTTGTGCACTCCTCCTCCTCCTCCTCCTCCTCCCTTTCCGCATCATCCGGCTGACTCGTCCAGCTCCACCACCCGAACCTCACTCCTCTATGAGTATCGTTTAACCGATCCCCATCCCCACTGGCGTAGCCTGGGCCCCACTGGCCGATTTACCCCCCGAATGGGGATATAGGCTGTTCCCTCCCGGTTTAGAGGGGTTATCCCCAACTGGGGGGTAATTTGGTGGGGGTCGCGAAGGGGATGGGGATGGGGATGGGGATCTGTTAAACGATACCGACCCTATCCCCCCCCCGCCCACCCACACACAGGTATCTTACTAACCTGCCGCCGCCCGCGCGCCAGCTGCGCGCCATTCCACGCCACAACGGGCATGGGCGACCGTGGGGCCTCGGCCCCCAAGGGCTGCACAGGATGACGCGGGCGGCTGCCAGGTGCGCGCCGCTCTCTGCTATAAGGATAGCAGGAGAGCCGCTGCGCCACCCACGACGCACCAGGCACAGCACGTCGTGCGGCACCCGTCGGACTCGAGGAACGCCCACGGAGAGCGCACCGCACGGTGCCGCATCTCCTTGTTGCAGTGGGGACCCGACCACAAGAGGCCTCCCGCAGGCAACCCAACCCTGAGGAGGAGGAGGAGGAGGAGGAGGAGGAGGAGGAGGAGGAGGAGGAGGAGGAGGAGGAGGAGGAGGAGGAGGGAGGCGGAGGAGGGAGGAGGAGGAGGAGGAGGAGGAGGGGGAGCAGGAGGAGGAGGAGGAAGAAGAAGAGGGAGGAGTTACGGAGTTACGGGTATGGCGACTATGTCGGTTACGAGTGGAAGCAGGTTAATCCCGCTGCTTCCCGGCTCTTCTGGCCTGCTCCTTCTTGCTGTAAACCTTAGGCCACAGCCCCTGGAGAATAAGCTTACGGTAATCAATTCGATTACCGTCGAGGCGTGTGCTGCATTCCTTGCCTAGCTGTGTCAGCTGTTCAGCCGCATAACTCCCGCAAACGAAACAGAACCACAACCTCAGCCCCGTGTGATACCGAAGAGTGTGAGACCCATGAGCGTACCCCCCCATAATGTGCACCCTTTGCCCAGGAGGGGGTCTACAAATGACGCCGTCCACACTAATTAGATCGAAACACGGTGAGCTCAGCCACTCGTTCTTACATGCGAGTGCGGTCGACCCCTTACAACGTGTGCAACAACGGCCATTCTCACCAAGGTGGTGCGACGAGGCGAACATTGCACAAACACTTGCTGCAGGAGGTTGCACGACCACAGAAGATTTACGATGTCTACGCCGAATGCCGAAACCCTCATCTTGTGACAAGAGCTCCTCAGCTTGTATGGCTTCTAGTGTGCTCTGTAAAATGCGCATGCGTACAGCGAAGGCCATATGTTCAGCACTATGTACCCGCGCGCGTGTGCCTTCAGACAAGCGTGCCACCGCAGCTCCAGCTGCTGCAAACTCATCTGCTACTGCGTTGCCTACAATAATGTACCTAGGCGAATGCTCTCCTATCATGTGCTCGGCTCCGAGGTGAGAATTAATGAAAAGAACCGTGCAGTGCAAATCTGGCTTACGAGATAGCTCCTGCCCTATGCGCCACCACAGGTCGGCGTCGGGGCCTGCGGGGGAGAGCCAACGGGATTCGTACCAGCCTGAGCACACTGCAGCATTATCAGTAGTGTATATGATATGCCCCGCACTCTCGCGAACACACACCCACAGACTGTACAATTCACCTCGAGCGACTGTCTGTCTACATCCTGGGAGAGCTGCCCACGTGCCGAGATCTATGTGCATGTCATCGTCTAACGAGCGAAAAAGTGCGATGCCTATCCCGACGCGACGGTGGAGGGGGTGGTGCGTTTCCTTGCCTCCACTGGCGTCCCCAAACAAGTATAAGGGGTGTGAAACCGTTCCTCTGCCAAAACCGACAAACTCAGATCCAGCCGAGACGTGCCAAGCCTCACGATCGGGCGGACTCTCGACAGCTACCCAAGAGGACGGCAAAAGGCCCCTGGTCCAGAAACACTCCTCAGCATCGGCCTGGGCGTAGGCCTTGCTGACGTACGAATCACTTAAATTATAAACTGGGCTGTCCGAACGTGATTCGCAACCCCAGATCCTGTGAAAAATGGTCTCGGGCGCCGCTCGGCACCGTGGACACTCCTGCGAGATCTGTTGCTTGCAACGTGTTTGCCGCCTGGTCCTGGGCCAAGAGGCCCCCGTCGCCACAGCAAGCATGAGGCCTGCCAGGCGCGGCCCGCCAGGGCCCTGCTCCAACTGCTGAAGCAACTGCCTGTAAGAATGGTTACATATTCCACCTTCCATGCCACTGCCGCCGAAGTGTTTGGCAGCGTCAGCCCAAAGGTTGGACTGAACAGAAACTTGAAACTCATGAAAGAAACTCTCAGGGATGTCGATCGCTGCGCATCCCGTTAAACCTTGCTCATTGAAATCCCAACTGCACGTGCCATCAGGAATATCCCACGAGCTGGCCGTCGTAGGAGTCCACCCTGCATTCAGAAGGTAGGTGATGACTGTTGCCTGAGGTCCTCGAATCCTCCGACATCGCTGCGTAGGCGGGAGGGCCGCCATCTCCTGAACAATGTCCGTCCAGGTACGGTTCACGCCAGCTCGGAGATGTGCCTCGGACACCCACGTGGTCAGCCACATCCTCAGCGTGTCCAGCGGGAGCCTGTAGGCGGGGTCCCTCAGCGGTGTCTTGAGATCGAGGAGCGTGGTGACGCACCTGCCCGTCAACCTCGGAGCTGATGCGTTGGCAAGCTGTCTCCTCACCGACGCCATCTGGCCCCCGAATACTCCGTGGAGATGATGGGCGTAGAGTCCCGCAGGAGCCGCTCCTTGCTGCTCGAGTCGACGAGTGACGTGATATCGGCGGAGTGTGCGAGCATACCGAGTGATCTTGACCGACATCGCATAATGCTTGACGGCACGTGACCTTCGCGTTGCTCGACCTTGCCTGCGACCTCCACTCAAATCAGCACCGAGGTAAGGAGCTTGGCTGGCATACCTGAGCTTGTACCCCCGAGCTGCAATCCTGCGAGTGATGATGCGGGCATCATCGATGTGGCTGCAGATCACGACGCTCTTGGGGGATATCTTCAGCCCTGCCGACTCCATGTTCTGGCAAGTGTCGAGGAGGCATCTGATCATCTGCCGACGCATCTCAAGTCTAGAGCCCCGAGCAACCTGCGAGAAGTCATCTACACACAGCCGATGTGACATGTTCACGTGGGCGGTGGTGATCCTGGACATGATGAAATGTGTAGCGCATTTGCCGAACCTCGTTCCTGCTCTCAGTCCCTGCACGATGGATCGCGTCGGGCAGAAAGGGGGTCCGTATGCACCTGACTGTCGAACACACCTCACAGCCATGCATTGCTGAAGCTCAAGTCCAAGAACCTCTGCAGGAAAATCCAAACGAAGAGCTGCTGCTGCGATACGATGCCAACCCACACTATCGTAAAACTGAGCTATATCACATAATCCATGTCCGTGTGCGACTCCAAGCCGCCCTGCCAGCTCTTCGTCAACAGCCCGAAGAAACACTTCACGAACTGCTGAGTTGCCGCGCACTGCGGCATCCCAGTGCGACTCACACTCGTCCGTCCATGTTCTCACAAACCCTTCACGCGATTGTGACCACATCCTTGCAAAATGCGAGAGGAGTCCTATAACTCGATCTCCGTTGCTCTTCTTTGGTAATAATGTACCAATGGTGATCAGAATCTGATGCGGCCACGCTTGGTGCTGTTCACATAGTGTGAGCAGTGCTGCCAATTCGGCCAGCGCAATGTCTGGCAGGCGGTCCACATCCGACGAACACAGCCGATCAACCCCCATCGCCGAGGAGGGCCTCATACGTCGAAGCGCTGCACGAAGGTCGGCGACATCGATGGGCGGCAGTGCCTCCTCCTGGACGCGGCGCCTGATGACTCCAAAGAGGTCAAGCAGCTGCTCATGGTCCTCCCCCTGTGGGGCCCACAACTCACGCCACTGCTGGGTTTTATAATCGAGCACGTCTCTCGGATGGATAAGCGTTCGATTACCAACTTCGACTGAGTCAGGAGCCAGAGGCGAGGACCTTATAGCCTTGTGCAGGGCGCTGACGGCTGGTGCCGACTCCGCCCAGTCACGAAATGAAGAAATAGAACGATGTATTGCTCGCTGCTGGCTCCGCTTGGCAAGTCTATTAGCGAAATCGCAGCCGCTCGATAAGTCTGCCTCGGAGGGGTTGCCTGATACCACCACTTGCAGAAACAACTTCCACTGTGACCAGGTGTGAGGATCCCGTCTCCGAAGCACTCGATGCGCCTCCTCAGGGATGGTCCTTTGGAGCGCGCCGATAGCCTGGATGAGGATGCCCTGCTGCTTGCAACCGTTGTCCCGACGGCGATGCTGAAACAGGGCCGAAAGTGCGGTAGCTAGCCTTGTCCACCAGCCACAGACCTTGTCGTGCAGCGGTTCCAGCCTCTGGGCCGTTGACTGCTGCACCGTGCCGATACGAAAACTCGCCGCCTGCCCTCGCGACAAGGATGGAGTGGCCTGCTGGTGGTGGGCGTGGACTGCCTCTTCCACCGTGCGGACCCAGCTACAATAAAGTGCACTGATGTGTGGAGCTGCCGAATCCTGGGACGAGAGCCGAAAGGCTACGGAGTCGGCAACAGCATCAGCAGGCAAGCAGGCAGCGCTCGGGACGAACCCGACGTTTTTCCTCGCTTGTATCCATGTTTCTCCGCTGACGGAAAACTCCACGGGGGACCCTGAGCTCACCGATTGAGACAACACCGCTGAAGAGTGAGACCCGTGGACATCTCCTTCTGTGGGGCAGGGTGCTGTGCTCGGGGGGCGCTCGGTCTCCTGAGGCTGAGGTGCGGCTGTGTGAGACTCGACTGTGAGAGAAGCGTGCAAAGCAGGAGCAAGCGGGGCCGCGGGCGGCGCAACTGTGAAGTTGCTCTCGTCAGCCCACGGGTCGTACTCGGAGATGTTGTCCCAATCGGTGGCGTGATGGTCGCTGGGGGCCTCCGAGACCTTGTCGGTCTCGTCGTCTGTGCCCTCCTGGCTCTCATCACCTACCTGCCGACGGGACTCTAAACTCTCTCCAAACCATTCACGAATTTTTGCATGCCTCTTCTCACGTGCGGCCTGCCTAGCGAGATCCCTCTTGGTCTTATTTACACTGGACTTGGACCCCTCGACCGCCTGCTTCGACGGTCTGGGGACTCGGGGAAGCCTCGGGGGGAGCTCGAGAAAGCGAGTGAAGGAGGAGGAGGAGGAGGAGGAGGAGGAGGAGGAGGCGGAGGAGGAGGAGGGGGAGGAGGAAGAGGAGGAGGGGGAGGAGGATGATGAGGAGGAGCTGGAGGGGGGAGGAGGAGGAGGAGGAGGAGGAGGAGGAGGAGGAGGAGGAGGAGGAGGAGGAGGGGAGGAGGAGGAGGAGGAGGAGGAGGAGGAGGCGGAGGAGGAGCAGGAGCAGGCGGAGGAGGGAGGCGGAGGAGGGAGGCGGAGGAGGAGCAGGAGCAGGAGCAGGAGGAGGAGGAGGAGGAGGAGGAGGAGGAGGAGGAGGAGGAGGAGGAGGAGGAATGGGGCGGAGGAGGAGGAGGAGGAGCTCGACAATGAGACACCTTCCACAAGCAACCCAACCCCGAGACCCCAGCACGTCCACTGATCTTTGATGTGGGAACGCCACGCTTATCATACGCATAGCAAAACCATCGAAGCCCACGAAACCCAGGGCACCCTGGAGGCAAGCAGAGGTGTTTCTTGGCATGGGTCCCCACCGTACCTCGCCAACCCGCCCTTTGCCGCAACGGGCGCGGCCTCGCCAAGGAAATCCGCGGGCGCGCTCGCGGCGCGCCCGCGCGCGCGGGCACCCGGGCGGGGGACGCCCACGCAGAGCAATTGCACCGCGCAGGGGGAGGTCACCACAGGGTCCATGAGATGTTGAATACGGCTGGGGGATCAGGTCTGCAGAACGCCCCTAACGGACGTCAAGGGTCGCAACCAACCTGTTCGGTCAAGCTGAAGTTGATGCACAACACGCAGCGTCAAGCCAAAACGTTGGACATAACCGATTGGTTGGATGTTGCACATCTTCGTCGGCTTAACTGGCGAGACGTCTGACCACCTTGACGTCCCTCCCTGTCTGGGTGTCCTGCAGAGGAACGCACTCTCTGACCCTCGGCTCTACTCAGATGAGATGGTCTCCTGCACGGCCCCGTCCTTGCCGTACCGCGCCGGCTCAGGAACGGTGCGCTCGAGGTCACCCTCAGCGACTATACGCGCGCGCAAGAGTGGCCTTGGGTAAGAGTGACCTTTGGTGCGCGGCTTTTGGTGGGCCGCGGGGGGACCAGACACAAGCGCGCAAGAGGCAACTGTAGCGTCGCGTTCGGCGATCGGGGGTATCCCAATGAGCCAGCACCAAAGGTCACTCTGGCGAAGGGTCACTCTTACGTGTGGTCGACCTCAGCGCGGCACGCCTTCGCTGCCTGATGGGTCCAGCGGCGAGAGCCCGGCTCGACCGCATGCGGGCGGGCCCCTGTCTGCAGGGTTGCGGATGGCGCAGGGTTGGGTCCGGCACCTGCTCCCGGTCTGCTCAGGCTTCCTGCTGCCCGAAGCCCAGTCCTCCTTCTCCTCCGCCTGCTGTTTGTTGTCCTCCCCTTTCTCATCCACACCCTTAGCACGTCCAACTTCCAGAGGTTACTTGAAGCACGCTAACACGACGCTGAGACCCACACACATGTACCTCCGCCTTGCTTCCTCCTCCGCCTCCTCCTCCTCCTTTTCCTCTCTCTCCATTCGGCCAGACCAAATCACCAAGCTGGACCTCCGACGACCCAGCATTACCAAAACCAATACGCATCCGACCAAAGACATTGGCGGGTGCGCCCATGGACTCCGTGGGCCCAGGCAACAGCCCCGCAGAAAACAGGACGACCCCCGCGATGCCAGCCACGCGAAACGACGCGCCGCAGCAACGACTTCCGCACCGGGTGGCTCTTCGCCCTTCCCACCTTCTTCCTCCAGCCCTCCTCTCCCCCATCCTCCCCGTCCCTCCTCCCTCCGTTATCCGGGCTCCTGCTCCTCCTCCTCGTCCTTCCACGTCCTTGCTCACCTCCTCGCCAGGCTAGGGCCTCCTGCTCGGGGATGAAGAGGCCAACGACGGAGTCGTCGGCCACATCGGGCGGCGTCGCGCCGTCCACGTTCCTAGGCGCGCGCGGACACGGGAGCGGGCGCGGTCGGCCGCACGGGAGCAGGAGAGAGGCGGGGAGATCGAAGCCGCACTCAAACACACACACACACATGCGTATGTGTGTGAGTATGTGTATGCTGTTGCAATATATGTTGCGCGCTCTATGTGGTGCAAAGTATGTTGTGCGATCGATGTGGTGCAAAATATGCAGCCCGATTTGGGTTTTGCAAGCTACGTGATACAGTCTAAGTGGTGCAACTAATTTGCTGAACTTGAAGTTGTCTTCTCCACTGCTCGCGCAAACATCCCACCCACCCACCCGCAACTTGGTTTGCAAAACCTGTTAAGACCGACTACGACGATACCGACGACAACGACTAGGACGACACCGACGACGTCTCCGACGACTTCGACGACGACAACGACGCCGACGCCGACGACGACGAAGACGACGACGACGACGCCAACGAAGGCGACGACGAGGAAGGAGGAAGGACGACGACGGCGACAGCGACGACAACGACGAAGGAGGAGGGAGGACGGTGACGACGCGAACGACGACGAAGGAGGAAGGACGGCGACGCCGACGACGACAACGACGAGGGAGGAGGGAAGACGACGACGACAACGACGACGACGACGGCGACGACATAGGAGGGACGACGATGAGACGCCGACGACGGACGACGACGACGACGTGGGAGGAGGAGGAAGGACGACCACGGCGACAACGACGATGGAAACGACCACGACGCCAAAGAGGACGACGACGACAAACAGAGAAAAGACAGAGGACGACGTAGGCGACGACGACGACGACGCGGGAGGAGGGAGGACGGCGACGACGACGACGACGACGACGCAAGAGCGCGCGCGCACGCTTTTGTTGAAAATCCGTGTTGCGAAACCTTGGGTTCTTGTAGGTTTTTTGGACGCACGATTTTGAAATCCTTCCGAAACCGATGGGTTTCGAAGGTTTTCGGCATACGTCCGCGACGACGCGCGCGTCTGCACTTCGTCCCATTTTTTGCAGAGGATTCTCGCGACGGCACACGCGCAAGGGCGTTCGACAGATTTCGACATGCGCGCGCGCGAAGCCCGTTTGGTAGCATTTTGTGAAAATCTTGAAAAAACCTATGGTTTTCTTAAGATTTCGCAAGAGCTCGCGCGGAAGTTTTTTTAGCAAACCAGTGTTGCGAAACCATGTGTTTTTGTATGCTTTTCGGAAACTCGATTGCGAAATCCTTCCGCCACCGAAGGTTTTTGAAGGATTTCGGCATGCGCGCGCGACGACGCGCGCGTGTGTACTTCGTCCAATGTTTTGCAAGGGATTCGCGAAAAAGTGTTATGTTAGAAAGAAAAATGTCCCCGCATAGTGTTTTTTGACAGGGACCCGCAGGGGGGGGGAACCCGGCTTGGCTGGGATGGTATGAATTCATATTTAGGATGGACATGTGGTCAGAATCATATATGATTTACAGCACGCGCGGGGTAACCGATAAGTCCGGGGGGGGGTAGAATCTATTAGTTTTTTAGAAAGGAGAATCCACTTCGACTGTCTTGAAGCTGTCCTCTCCACTGCTCGTGCAAACATCCACCCTCCCACCCGCAACTTGGTCGCAAGACATCTTCAGACAAGACCGTGACGGTAGGTACTGCGTGGCACTTGGCCACGTCACCGATGCCGACGACGACAGCGACATCGACGACGACGGCGCCGCCGACAGCGACTGCGACGACACCGACGACGTCTCCAACGTTTTCGACGACGACAACGACGACGACGACACCGACGACGACGACAACGACGCCGACGACGACGACGAAGACGACGACGACGTCGCCAACGGAGACGACAACGAGGGAGGAGAAAAAACGACGACGGCGACAACGACGACAACGACGATGGAGGAGGGAAGACGGCGACGACGCCAACGACGAAGAAGGAGGAAGGACGGCGACGCCGACGACGACAACGACGAGGGAGGAGGGAAGACGACGACGATGACAACGACGACGAAGACGACGACGACGGCGACGAAATAGGAGGGACGACGACGAGACGCCGACGACGGACGACGACGACGAGGGAGGAGGATAACGACGAGGGAGGAGTGAAGACCACGACGACGACGACGACGACGACGGCGACGAAATAGGAGGGACAACGACGAGACGCCGACGAAGACAACGAGGGAGGAAGGACGACCACGGCGACAACGACGACGGAAACGACGACGACGCCAAAGACGACGAGGAAAGACAGAAGATGACGACGGCGACGACGACGACGACGACGACGACGAGGGAGGAGGGAGGACGACGACGACGACGACGACGCAAGAGCGCGCACGCACAATTTTGTTGAAAACCCGTGTTGCGAAACCTTGTGTTTTTGTAGGTTTTTTGGACGCACGATTTCGAAATTCTTCCGAAACCGAAGTTTTTTGAAGGATTTCGGCATACGCCCGCGACGACGCGCGCGTCTGCACTTCGTCCCATTTTTTGCAGAGGATTCTCGCGACGGCACACGCGCAAGAGCGCTCGACAGATTTCGACATGCGCGCGCGCGAAGCCCGTTTGGTAGCATTTTGTGAAAATCTTGGAAAACCAATGGTTTTCGCAAGATTTCGCAAGAGCTCGCGCGTAAGTTTTTTTTGGATCAATGTTGCGAAACCATGTGTTTTTATATGTCTTTTGGAAATTCAATTTTGAAATCTTTCTGGAACCGAAGGTTTTTGAAGGATTTCGGCATGCGCGCGCCACGACGCGCGCGTGTGCACTTCGTCTCATTTTTTGCAAGGGATTCATGAAAAAGTGCTATGTTGGAACAAAAAAATGTCACCGCATAGTGTTTTTTACAAAGGAACCGCAGGGGGGGGGCACCCGGCTTGGCTGGGATGGTATGAATTCATATTTAGGATGGACATGTGGTCATAATCATATGTAATTTACAGCACGCGCGGGATAACCGATAAGTCCGGGGGGGTAGAATCTATTAGTCTTTTGAAAAAGAGAATTAATTTCTGTTCGCGGTGAAATGTCCACTCCACTGCTCGCGCAATCATCCCACCCACCCACCCGCAACTCGGTTTGCAAAATCTCTTAAGACCGTGACGGTGGGTACCAAATGGCACTTGGCAACGACAGCGACGCCGACGACGACAGCGACGACGACGACGACGACGCCGCCGACAACGACACCGACGACGTCTCCTACGACTTCAACGACGCCGACAAAGACGACGACGACGATGACGACGACGACGACACCGACGACGACGACGACGCCGACGCCGACGACGACGACGATGACAACGACGACGATGACGACGCCGACGACGACGACAACGACGACACCGACGACGACGACGACGTCAACGACGCCGACGACGACGACGACGACGGCGGCGACGACGACGACGACGCCGATGTCGACGACGACGAAGACGACGACGACGCCGACGCCTATGACGACGACGAAGACGACGACGACGTCGCCAACGAAGACGACGACGAGGGATGAGGGAGGACGACGACGGCGACAACGACGACAACGACGACAACGACGAGGGAGGAGGGAGGACGGCGACGACGCGAACGGCGAAGAAGGAGGACGGACGGCGACGCCGACGAAGACAACGACGAGGGAGGAGGGAAGACGACGACGACGACAACGACGACGATGACGGCGACGGCGACGGCGACGAAGTAGGACGGACGACGACGAGACGCCGACGACGGACGGACGACGACGACGAGAGAGGAGGAAGGACGACCACGGCAACAACGACGACGGAAACGCCCACGACGCCAAGAGGACGACGACGACGAACACGAGGAAAGACAGAGGACGACGTAGGCGACGACGACGACGACGCGGGAGGAGGGAGGACGGCGACGACGACGACGACGCAAGAGCGCGCGCGCACGCTTTTGTTGAAAATCCGTGTTGCGGAACCTTGTGTTCTTGTAGGTTTTTCGGACACACGATTTTAAAATCCTTCCGAAACCGATGGGTTTTGAAGGATTTCGGCATACGCGCGCGACGACGCGCGCGCGTCTGCACTTCGTCCCATTTCTTGCAGAGGATTCTCGCGACGGCACCCGCGCAAGGGCGTTCGACAGATTTCGACATGCGCGCGCGCGAAGTCCGTTTGGTAGCATTTTGTGAAAATCTTGAAAACCCGATGGTTTTCTTAAGATTTCGCAAGAGCTCGCGAGTCAGCTTTTTTAGCAAATCAGTGTTGCAAAACCCTGTGCTTTTGTATGTGTCTTGGAAACTCGATTGTGAAAGTCGATTGGAAAGTCTTCTAATCGAAACTCGATTTCGGCATGCGCGCGAGACGACGCGCGCGTGTGCACGTCGTCACATATTTTGCAAGGGATTCGTAAACAAGTCGTATGTTAGAACATAAACTGTCCCCGCGTATCGTTTTGTTTACAACGGAACCTCAAGGGGGCCGATACCGGCCCCCCCGGGATAGTGCAAATTCATATTTAGGATGGACATGTGGTCAAAATCATACATGATTTACGTACCCGAAAGGGGAGCGGATAATGCCGGGGGGGAGAGTCTATTCCCTTTTCAAGCAGGAGAATAGAGGTGCTACACTCCATGCGGTGATATACACATATATATATATATGTGTTTATGTGCAGATAGATATATAGAGTGCACTCTATCTGGTGCAATCTACGTTGTTCAATTCATGTCGTGCAACTTTTGCGCTTCAGTACATATTGTGAAAGCTACGAGGTACAATCTAAGTGTGCAAGCTATGTGGTACAATCTCTGGTGTGCACTCAATATCTACCTGCAGAGCACTGTATGTGGTTAAATATATGATGTGCACCAGAAGTGGTGCAAACGATGCTGTTCAGTCCATGTGGTGCCATATATGCGGAGCAACGTATGTTGTGCAAGCTATGTGGAGCATTCTATGTGGTGCAATGTATGAGGCGCAACCTTTGCGGTGGAGTCTATGCGGTGCTAATATATCTTGTGAGATCG